GTGTAGTACTAGAAGTTTCTGATAAGATTTTAGTACAGATTGTTTGATCATGTTTAGCTGGTTTGAAGGGATGAGTTGGAGACTGGGAAGTCAGTTTGTAGAACAATATAATAAGAAAATAGAAAAAAACATAAAATACCTATAATATAACCAGTTGCGGTCAAGTCGATTCTGACTTATAGTGACCCTATAGGACAGAGTAGAACTACCCCATAGGGTTTCCAAGAAGTGGCTAGTGGATTTGAACTGTTGACCTTTTAGTTAGCAGCCATAGCTCATAACCACTGCACCACCAGGGTGACACCTATAATACAGTTTACTGAAGAGCAATTAAAAGAATGAGGCAGATTTCTATGTACTAATAAAGACAACTCTTTCAGACTTTCAATTATTATTGAAAAAAAAGATGCAAAACTAAACAAAGAGCATATCAAACACATATGTGTGTGTATTTATGTAAATGCATTGTCATGGATTGAACTGTGTTCCCCCAAAACATCTGTCAACTTGGCTAGGTCATGATTCCCAGTATTGTATGACTGTCTACCATTTTGTCATCTGATGTGATTTCCCTATGTGTTGTAAATTCTATCACTATGATATGATGGATTAGTGGTGGTTATACTGATGAGATCTACCAGATTAGATAATGTCTTAAGCCAATCTCTTTTGAGATATAAAAGCGAGAAGCAATCGGAGAGATGGGTGACATCACACCACCAAGAAAGCAGTGCCAGCAGCAAAGCACATCCTTTGGACCTGAGGTTCCTGTGTGGAGAAGCTCCTAGACCAAGGGAAGATTAATAACAAGAACCTTCCTCCAGAGGTGACAGAGAGAGAAATCCTTCCCCTGGAGCTGACGCACTGAATCTGGACTTGTAGCCTACTGGACTGTGAGAAAATAAATTTCTCTTTGCTGAAATCATCAACTTGTGGTATTTCTGTTACAGCAGTACTAGATGACTAAGACAGGCATAGAAGAAATCTAGAAAATTAAACACTACCAGGACCACTGAGGTTATCTCTGGGGAGAAATGGAGGGAACATTGATTAAGAGTTGGGGAAGGAGTCAAAGGAGATATAAGCCTTATTTGGAATACCTAAAAAAAATTTTTTAAAAAAATAAGAATGCATTCACAATAATTTTTATAAATAGAATTTAATAACAAAGAAAAGGAGTGGATCTAAGAGATATTTAATAAAATAACCGAAGAGTAGGATATAATGAGGAAGTCCAAATTATTTTACATTCCCATAATTTGCAGGTATAACAAGATATAATTAAAAAAACAAAAAACACAACTCTGACATAAATTTGAATGTTCTAAAAAAAAAAAACCCAATAATATATGGGTGTGTAGAAATAATCTATAGCAGGTCTCTTTCACCTGGGATAATGGTTAAAATTAGATACTAGCATCCAAAAAATGTTTTTGATACTATAAATATTAAAACCAGTAGTCATAAATGCCTTCCTTCTCTCCTAACTCAGATGGACCATTATTTCCTACAGCATATATTGATATTAATAAATTTATTTAAGTTACTTGTTCCAGTAACATGGAATACCTGAGTGGATATAAAATTTCAAAAGAATCAGATCTAGGCCTCCAGGAATTTAGTCAAGAAAGAACAAGGTGTCTGCTGAAAAACAACCTCAGAAAGTCAAAAAGTCCACTTGTGGCCTTCATAGTCAATCCCAGCGCTTCTCCCAAAGCAACCAATGTTCTATCGTTCACTATAATTTCACCTGTTTTAGAATTTCACATAAATGGAGTCATATTCTTTTGTGTCTAGCTTATTTCACTCAGCCAAATGATTTTGCAATTCAGCCATATAGTTCATTTCCTTTACAGATGAGTAATATTCCTCAGTATGAATATATCTCATTTTGTTTAACTATCTGTTGATGAATGTTTGGATTGTTTCCAGTTTTAGGCTATTTTAAATTAAGTTAGTATGAATACTCTTGTGCAAGTGTTTGGGTATATATATATATATGTATGTGTGTGTGTGTGTGTGTGTGTGTGTGTGTGTGTGTGTGTACTCTTTTCTCTTGGGAAAACATATGAAAGTGAAATTACTTCCTCATGGGGTAGGTGTGTGTTTAACTTTATAAAAAAGTGTTAAACAGTTTTTCAAAGTGGTTGCATTATTTTATTCCTGCCACCAATGAATGAATATTTTAGTCACTTAGAATGCTTGTCAGCCTCTGATGTCATCAGTCTTTTTAATTTTAGCGGGTATGTAGTGGTATCCCAATGTAGTTTTAATTTGCATTTACCTGATGTGGTACATCTTTTTATATTCTTGCTGGCCATTCTTATATCTTCCTTTGTGTAGTGTCTGTTCAAAACTAGTCTCCATTAATTTTTTTTTATTATTGAGTTGTACAAGTTATTTAAATATTCTGAATATGAGTCTTTTCAGCATAGGTATTTTTTTTCCAGTCTGTGGAAAAAAATGTTATCTTCTGATAAGTAGACGTTTTTAACTTTGATGAAGTTTATCAATTTTTTAAATTGTATGGTTTTTGCTTTCTCTGACTTATCTAAGAAATGTTTACTCTTATGTCATGAAGCTATTCTATATTTTCTTCTAAAGTTTTATATTTTTAGCTTTTATGTACTGACAATATTTATTTTTACATTACTTGTTTAAACCCATCCATTGCTCTCAAGTCAATTTTGACTCATTGCAACCTTATAGGACAGAGTAGAACTGCCCATAGGGTTTCCAAGGCTGTAAATCTTTAAGGAAGCAGACTGCTACACCTTTCTCTGGCTGAGCAGCTGGTGGGTTTGGGCCTTTTGGTTAGTAGCTGAACACTTAACCACTGTACCACCAAGGCTCCTTACTTATTTAAATAAATACCAAAAAAAAAAAAAGTTCTGTAATTTGTAGACCACTCTGAATGTCTCATAGAATTTATCATTTCCTGTGTGCTCTAAAGTGGATAGAAGGTAAAGAGTTAAGTGATATTTTTTAGCTCTATCTGAATGGGAATTAAAAAAAAAAAAAATTTTTTTTTTTTTTTGTGTCACCAAGCCAATATCCAGAACAGTGGAAACTTAACTGAGTCTATTATCACCCTTGAGATTGTTAGAAATAAGATTATTGGGCTTCACTCCTACAGGATGATTTAGTTTCGTATGTTCTGCTGTGCAGGTAGATTTGGGAATCGCTGATCCCAAGTCTTTAATGCTTGGCCAAATTTAAAGTCTACTCTACCTATCATTTTCTCAAACAAGGCAGAAAACCTTTGTGTGCGGTTCCCACCAGTGCTTTTTACTGTCCTTTTAAATAGTTATTTAAAAAGCACTGGGGGAAAGCACTGGGGAGTTTTACTAAACGTATTCTATTGTATTAATGGAATGAAATATTTCAAAACAGCAATCAGTTGCATAGTTGCTGCTCTTCTCAACTGCTAGCTCTCACTTTGCTTCTAGAACGGAAATTAAATTGCAACAAGTCTTAACAGGAAGGTTTTTTTTTTGTTTTGTTTTGTTTTTAATATATTGCTTCTATCTAGTGGTTCTGCCAGTGGACCCTGGCTTGGCGGGCAATTAAACATGAAACTTCTCATTGGGTATTTTCAAGACTGCTACAGGGAATCAGCTGCCAGTTTACTGCAGTGTGGAAAACTGCACGAGATTCTGGGATCGGAATAAAAATGCTAATTCCAAAGGTCAAGTAAAGCAGCAGCTCACGTTTTCGGAAGCCTGTGCGCTCGGCAAGCAGAAGCAGACAAAGACCAGCAAGGGGAGGCGGAGGCTCACAGAGAGCTAGCCGAATCGGTTTTCCTTGAAATAATTTTGGAATCATGCCTGAAATGCCGGAGGACATGGAGCAGGTAAGAGCCAGCTATTCAAGAAATGAAGCACTCTAGAGTTAGAGTTGCTTTAAAAGCATCCCAGTGCACGCCTGGTAAAAGCAGAAATGGTGTATAAAGAAAATACAAACGGGTTATTCGTTATTAAAATATGTAAATAACCTGCTGACACGGAACAATAGACCAAGTTTAGTTGTTGACCGAGGGAACCAGATTGTGGCGATCTCGGCTAAATCACACTAATTGGAAACAAGAAAAACCCCGCAAAAACACACCAGCAGTTTGATTTACTTATTCAGAGTGCAATGATGTATGGGAAGGTTCTGTGTAAGTACCGATATAGTTTTGTGCTCCAGCCTTTCTTTGTCTTGGCGTGAATTGAATCTGCCAATATAACTTTTAGTTCTCTTTAAATTTGTAGACTTCGGGCACGAACTTGGGTATCGTTTGTATGATGATCGCGTTTTATTCACATAGCACCTTTCATCATTTAAAGAGAATGATTAAAAACCATAGACATACATGCTTCTAGAACTAGTCCAACTTCTACCTGGCCCTTATCCAAATCCAGATTGTAAATGTAGGCAAGAAACTCTTTTTGTTCCCCATCCTAGGCAAGGTTGCTTTTAAGAATCACAATGCTAATTGTGTATGCATGTCCTTAAATCTTCTTCATGTTGAACACTTAATTTTTTGTTTTCCTAGAAAGGTTAGATTGAATCATAAGTTACAAGTAGAAACTTTAAACAAATTTCCTAGTGTTTCTTAAGAGAGGAAGATCAAGAGGGTCTTTTTCCGCCCTCCCCTTCCCGCCCCCGGGTATTTCTCTTTGTTGTCTGGTGAATGTGTATGCTTAGTACTGGGGCAGTCCTGTCGAGGACTCCCTAAATAATGCTAAACTAATTAACAGTAACAACCTGGATTAAAACAAATAATCAAAAAGTGAGGGGACCTCAGACTCCTCTTCTGTTAACTGTGCCAAAGAAACTAGGTTTATACGAATAAGGAAATGGGCTCTTGTTGGGGGTTGGGTAGGAAGGAAAGTCAAAGGGCTCAGACGTAGAAAAACATTTTTTTTTAAAAAAAGCTGCTCTGTCTTTAGCTCTAAAATACATGAAAAAGGATTATGAAAACGATGCCTTCTTGGAAAAATCCAAGCAGTGGTTACCTTTGGGAGCGACTTTCAAATCTCGGTATCCTGTGTGTCAGGACAGCAACACTCAACTGTTCGGTGAAAAGTCGGTCTGTTTGTTTTCTGCGTAGTTTCGTAGGCATCCCGGCTGGCAGGACATTTCTGCGGGTTTGAACTGGAAGGGAAATCAGCTTGCTAGGTCGGTCTCGACACTTAGGGCTGTTGTTTTCTGATTGTTAATTTAAAAAAGTGATACAGGTGGTAGAACGTTGAGCATTATTTTCTCCCCTTGGTTCCTTCCTTTAGTTTTCGGTGGCTGCCAGGGCTCGGCTGTGTTACCCCAAAGCTGCGTCCCCCACAAGGCGGTGCTTCTGAAAGGGTGGTCTTGACCCCCTGTTAAATCCACTAAAATGTAGAATCTCGGGTTCTCCTCCTGCAGATTGTCACTCTAATTACGGGACAAGGTCCAAGAATGCGTTTGAAGAGGTACCCAAAGAATCCATCTCCCTCATCCACACATCTTTTTTTAATTACTTTAAAATTTCTTCTGCAAGAGAAATTGCAACAAGTCTCTACAGGAGGTGTGTGTTTGACGTTTTTGAAATTTCACACATATTACTTTTTAGCATCCTAGAAAGACAAATGGATCCCTAAGGTGTTAATGACTCAGATGCCAGCACTTTTATTTTTATTCCTTATCTTTTCCCGAATTTCTCAAAACCACACGTAATGCTCTATACCTAGATGCCCGTTGCGTTCTCTCCCTCTCCACTCATCCCCCATGACTTTTAAATGTTTTATCCTGTATTATAAGCCCTGGTGGAACAGTGGTTAAGCTAAGGATCAGCTGCTAACTAAAAGGTCGCAGATTCTAACCCACTAGCCGCTCTGCTTCCGTAAGTATTTACAGCTTTGGCAACCCTGTGGGGCAGTTCGACTCTGTCCTACAGGGTTGCTATGAGTCAATCAATTTGACGGCAATGGGTTTTTGGTTTGGCACACATTACATACCCAATTGATTCTTATGCACTGCTCAAGGTCTGCAAACTTGAAATCCCAGGCGATCCAACCCCGCCAAAATTCAATCCTTTCCCAGCCAAGGGAAATAAAAAAAAAGAAAGAAAGTACACACTAAACCCTCCAAAACAAAACTTGTATTCATTGCTTACGGCCGGGGCCATTGTTTTGTGTATCACTTTAAGAGCTGGCGCGTGGGCCGGGAACGTCCCACGCATGCCCACTCCCTTTCTGGGGCGTCGGCCGAGCGTGGCCAATCAACAGGCGAGGCAGTGACGGCGGAAGCCGGAAGCGGCGAGCGGGGGCCGGTCTGGGCCTAGGGGAGGCGGGCCGAGGCGGACAGTGCTGCGGTTCGTGGCGATCTTGCGCTGGAGAAAGTGGCTGCTGTTGTGGCGGCGGCGGCGGCAGCGTAAAGACGGCGGGCATGGTGGGGAGGGAGACCGAGCTTTCCATCCACTTTCTTCCAGGGAATTGCCGGCTGGTGGAGGTGAGGAAGTCGGTCCAGGGTCTCCTCTGGGAACCTCGGGTGCTGAGGAGGATGAGCCAGGTCGGCTGGGTCATGGGTCGCCTCCAGGCGCGGGTCGCCTCAGTCATACCCCCGGCCCGGAGTAGCCTCTGCGCCGCCCTCCCAGCCTCGGGAGCTGAGGGCGGTGCCACCGAGTTTGTTTACCTCGGCGCAGTGTTTTCTCCCCGAGCCTGCGGCAGGAAGAGTAGGTCGGGGTTTCACTTTCGTGCCCCGAGTCTCTGTTCTTAGGAATGCAGAGACGGTTTTTAGAGTTGCTTCCATTTTGATTACGTTTTTTAATTTCTTTTTCATCCTTGGTTCGTACTCTCGATCATACCAGTTCTTAGCTCTAAGAAAGAAAAGGAGTGGCTTTTCACGAGTAACAGATTGGGAGAATTTATTCTTCGTACAAAGCACTATGGCGTGCGCATTACAGGCATTGTTTAACTCAGTCCGCATAACTATAAGATACTGTTACTGCTCCAATTTACAGATGAGAAAACAGGGTTAGAGATTGAGTCATTTTGCCCAAATTCATTCAGTAAGATTGAAGTTGATACTCAAATACAGGTCCGTTTGACTGTCTCAGACTTAGAACGCCACAGCCCAGTTTGCATAAAGAAAGACTATTGTAGTGTTTGAGAGATCCATCCTGGTATATTCCCCTCCCCCCCACCTTCCATTCCAGGCTCTCCAGCATTCACTTAAATCCAAGACTATATATATCTGTCCCTGGGGATGAAAAGACTGTTAATTACCAGACGAGTATGTCTATGGATATGAGATGGCTGCTTTTGATAACGCAGAATTTTTACTTTTCCAAAATGTAGTATATTTAGTGTTTTCACATCTCTTTGGGACTTTGAGGGTGGCATTAGGATAAATGGACTACTTAAATTTATGTATTGTTCCTGTGTGCCCCAAACAGTGCTGAGTGCATAATGTTCTGTCTTGTTTGTTTACATCTCTGGAAGTGCATACATATATATATGTGTGTGCATAAAGCTTAATCTATTTTCACAGTAAAAAAAAAAAAAAAAAAAAAAAAACGAAACGAAACCCGTTGCCATCGAGTCAGTTCCAACATAGCAACCGAACAGGACCGAGAACTGCCCCATAGGGTTTCCAAGGAGCAGCTGGTGGATTCCAGCTGCAGACCTTTGGTTAACAGCTATGTCTCTCAACCACTGAGCCACTAGTGCTCCATTTTCACAGTAAGAGTTCAGTAAACTAATGGAAATAGGTTTTCCTTCATTAAAAATGGTACAAATAAGAATTTGCCACGTATTTTCTCCTCTCTCAAAACCTGTAGAATTAAAACTCACTCTTGAGATAGTTGATTGCTTTATAGTTAATGTTAGGGAAGCAGACTGTAGTGATTTTCTGTTAATAATACTCTGTGGGGTACAGTAGGGTGATAGTAGGCTAATCTCACCTAGGTAGTCATGGGATCTTAAAAGTTTCTTAAGGCCCAGCAGTTTCCACTATATTTTGAAGAGAATGTTGTGAGGATCAATTGAAGAAATGAATATGAAACTTTGCTACATTTAAGAGGTTCTGAAAACACCTATCTATTATCGTATTTATGACTAAAAGTTAAGAAGATATCCCTCCATATTTTAGTGATATTTCATTCTTTACTTTTTCTAGACTTTTTAGTATAAAATAATTTATGCAACAACAATCTAAGGTAATTTTTAGGGGAATTTTTTTTCCCTGAAAAAAGCAAAAACAAAAACTGTACTTTACAAGACTTAGTAGATTTCTGTTTATGTAGAAACTCAAAAAATAGAAGAGATGTTTTTGTTTGGAATTTGTAAATTTCAGAGTGATGCATATTTATTTGCCAACCATGAATAAAACTGCAATCCAAGTGATAAAATCTTGCTTTAGCTCCTTTACTGGTGACAGAAGGTGCTGTTAGAGTCTCCAGAGAGAACCATGTGAAGAAAGGAAAATGAAGCTCTTGCTACCATGTTTATACCCATTGTGATAAGGGTAATAAGGTAACTGTTAGAATTGTAAAACTTAAAGCTGAAAGAGCCTTAGTCATCTTGTTCAAACACCTCATTTTACCAATGAGGAATTAGATCAGTAGAAATGGAGTAACTTCTCAATACCACAGTTTGTGGCAGAGCAAAGAAAACCTTAATCATGCGTTAAATCAAATGTGTGTTCAAAGGATTGAGACAAAAGCCATTATGTGTTTGGTTGTCTGGACTATAGAAGCAAGAAAACCCAGTTTCTGGTCCCAGCTTTTTCATTTTTACTGTGGGCAAAACCTTTAACATCTCCAGACTTCAGGTTCCTCACTTTGAAAATAATATCTGCCCTGCTTGTCTCCAGGCTGTTCTTATGATCAAATGGTGTGATGTATTGAAAAGCTGTTTATATAACACTTGATAGTTTTCAAATACAAGATTGTGCATAGCATTCTGTTTTAGTAAATGCTTGCACTTCAGATTCCTGCTCTTTTAATAAAGAAAACTCTTGAGCACTAACATCTGACTGCTGGGTATCGTGGACTGTTTCGTGTTTTCCTCCAGGGGCCTTACGATATTACCCAGGGTATGAGAGTATAAGGTTGCATACTTCCCTAACATTATTTAGATTTAAGTATACTACAGTCCCCAAAGAGCCTTGCTTTTCTTATAACTTAATACTGCATTTCATCAAATCTAAGATACTCTTGATTATAAGATCATCTGGGTTCTTGTTTTAAGATGCACTAGGAAAGCAAAACATTGCCAAACTGACATATTCCCAAGAGTGTCCCTGTTTCCTTCATTTAACAGAGATGTTAAAATCAGGAAAAACTGCAAAACAGAATTGATGAAATAACACAAAGATCTTAATTCACTGTTTAGTAACATTTGTGGATTGCAAAATGCTTGTTCTTTGACTTCTGTGCCTAGTTTTTCTTTTTAAGAGGGAAAGATATTGTCACTTCTAGAAAGTTGGACAATTTTTGGCTTTGTATGAATAAGAAAAATGGATGTTTATCAAAGCCTTGAAATTTATCTTGGAGTTCAAAGTGCAGTTCCCAAATCACCATCATCAGCATCACCTGGAAACTTGTTAGAAATACAAATTATCAGGCCCCAGCCCTCACTTCCTGGGCCTGAAAGCCCTTGGAGATTCTGATCTCTGAAGTTTGAGAACCAACCAAACCCAAACCAAACCCGATGCCTTTGAGTCGATTCCGACTTACAGTGAACTAAAAACGTATCTATTCATTTACTCCTCTAGAGTGAGGTAGAAAGTGAAAAACTTAGAAGAAATCAAATCATATACCTTTTAAGTAGTTTCCCAGGATCCTTACAGTATGTATCCTGTATAAATTGTTTTTCTGAACTGTATTCCTACTAGACTTGGCATGTTTTCTCCTCTGTATAATTCAGTCTTTGTAGAGCTGTTTTCTTGCCAAAATTCAAAGAAAATATTTTATTGGCTGAAATCTTTGTTTTCATAGATCAGTTGGCTTAGAGCCAAGTTTCTGCAATAGAGAGCCCAGATTAATTTTCCTTCAACTTTTAAAATGTTTTGAAATTGGTTGAGCTAAGGGGGAATAGCTTTAAGAACTTACCATTGTGCTGTATCTCCCTGTCCTTTATTTCAGGTTTTTCCTCTGGTGGAAATAACTTGATTTTGGTGACTTTATTATTATTATTTCAATTTTAGATGTATAGTCTGGTAAGTAATTTAGTTGAAATAAGGGCTAAAAAAGAAAGACCTTTAGATATTGTATACATATGACAGCTTAGAACTAGGTAGCCAACAGCACTTGAGACAAAAAGGCCTCAAATTGATTTAAAAAAAAAAAACACCTTTTTTTTTTAAAAATAATAAGTATTGACTTTATTCAGCCTCTAGGAGGAAAGGTGGTGTTACCCCTCTTGGAGAGAAGGGAAAAATTTGAAACTATGCCTTGGAAACATAAAATGTAAATTGTTTCCAAATAATGGTTCTTTCTCATTTCTGTGTGTAAGGAATTTTTTTTTTCTTTTTCACAATAGCAACACATTACCAATTGAAAACATTTCAGATTTTTTTAACCCTCTCCGTTTCTTGATTTTAACTGTTGTACGTAGGCAGATTTAGAGTTAACTCAGGAACATTTATTAGTTGGCTAAACTTAGAAAGCGTATTAGTGCTGTTAGGACTGGATTTACCTTCCTCTAAATTCCTGTGAAATGTTGACTAATTCTCTAACTTGGGCTATCAGAATTTGATAAATAAATGATTGGAATTTGAAAGAGAATTTGGAATTAAAAACTGAAGACCAGAAATGTCAGTTTGTAAACATATAGGCAGAATATAGTCCAAATGTATAATTAGGCAATAAAATAAGTGAGTAAAGCTAATTTTATGTTTTCATAAACTGAAGAACGTGATTGAAATTGGTGTTTATTGCTCATTTGGGCATCATTGGTCATAAATACAGGGTTTTTTCATTATTGACATAACAAAATCTGAATCCGTTCAACTAGGTGATTCCTTGCAGTATCAGCTTATACTCTTTTTCTTGTATAAGATTTATTAGAACTTTTTCTTAAGTGATAACAGCTGTCAGTGAAGTTTGACTAATCTTTGTTCTAAGTTAAGAATTGGCTTATAAATAAGGGACATGAATCAACTACTTAGACCTGAGGCATTTAGTAAACAATGATGGTGACTAGTTGAGAGAATTATTTTCAAAGTAAATAACCTCCCCTTCCTCCCCTCACCTTTTAGGAGGAAGTTAACGTTCCCAGTAGGCGGGTTCTGATTACTGGTGCCACTGGGCTTCTTGGCAGAGCTGTATACAAAGAGTTTAAGCAGAATAATTGGCATGCTGTTGGCTGTGGTTTTAGAAGAGCAAGACCAAAATTTGAACAGGTTAATCTATTGGATTCTGATGCAGTTCATCACATCATTCATGATTTTCAGGTATGGTTTAGTCTGTTTATTTTATTTAACACACATATAAGCTATATTAAGAGTTGTCCATGATACAGAAAATGTTCTTGTTCTCAAGCAAGTTACTGTGCAAGTTCTTACCTACTAAGCAGCAACAATATATTTTAGGATGGCAGAGTACTAGTATGTATAATTCTTAAAATGATTAGATTGAGATACAGGTTGAAAAATGACCAAAATATGAAGCATTTTATAAAAAGCTAATGTTTATGGAATACCTTCTAAGTACTACCTTCTATGCAAATACTTTCTGAATTTTAACCTGTAAACCTTAAAACAACACTGCAGAATAGGTACTATCATTTCCATTTTAGAGCTGAGGAAGCAACCTCAGAGCGGTTAAGTAACTTGCTAGCCAGGATCACACAACATGCCATAGAAAAGTTTGGGTTCTGATCTACCCCCCTAATAAAATCTCAGGTGCTTGCTCCTTGTAAGTGCGGGTCAAGGATCACCTGCATCAGAAACACTTGAGGAACTTGTTCTCAGGCCTCACTTCTTCCTAGAGGTTTTAATTCAGTAAGTCTGTGGTAGGGCCCAGGACTCTACATTTTAAGAAGCACCCCAGATTATGCACGTTGCAGTTTGTAAACAACTCTCAGACCATACTCTTCAAGCACTGTTGAGAAGGACAGAGTTTGGGATGTGGGTACATTAGCCCTGGTGGTCTGTGTTCATTTCATATCTTAGCTTTCACTCAGCTCCCCTGAGAACTAGGGGCCCTTTCTCCACAAGACATCATCTGCAATCCTCTAGCTTAACGTCCATCATACTATATTGAAACAGTCTCTTTACATATCTGTCTTTGCTACTGTTTGTGAGATCGTTTCTCCTAGCGCAAGGCCTACCATATAGATGGCATACTGAATGCTCAACTGGGAATATAATTCTTGTGGATAGTTGATTTTCTTAAAACGATTGGTCAAAGAGAATTGAATGTATAAATTTAATTTGAAATTGGTATTACTCTCCCTTTAACACAGATTTATTAAATATTTAGGCCACATTAATTATATAAGTGATATCTCTTCTTGCCCATCCAAATTGGGGACAAAGTTTATTTTGATGTAGAAATACAGTTGTTGGCACAGAGAGTTTTTTTGGTAGGTATTACTAAATTGCTTTCCTTTTCGGGACTCATACATGTTTTTCAAGAAGATTGAGCCTTGTAAAAAAAAGGAAGCATGACACAACTACATTAAAAATCAAATGATTTATTCCTTAATTGAGGGAATATTGATTTAACAAACATTTTTTTTTTTCTCTGAATGAATTTGCTTTCGGAAGGCTGTAGTTAACTCTGTTTTACTCCTTTTTGGGTTAAAAATGCATCAATGCTTAAATTTCAGCCCCATGTCATAGTACATTGTGCAGCAGAGAGAAGGCCAGATATTGTGGAAAATCAGCCAGATGCTGCTTCTCAACTTAATGTGGAAGCTTCTAGGAATTTAGCAAAGGAAGCAGGTAATCATGACTTTATAAAATCTTTATAAAGTACTAAATGATCCTGGAGTTTTTAAAGATTTAAGGTTTTATAGATTGTTTATAAAAGGTTTTAAAAAATATATATATATCTACATACATCCAAGGGCAAATCAAAAAAGTATTGCCACAAAATCATAGAGACCTTTATTAAACAAAAATATCCAAGTGTGAAGCTGTTGTTTCTCGACATATCCTCCATCTAGGTCTATACACTTCTGAAGGCAGTGTTTCCATCTCTCTAACCCTTCCTCAAAGAATTCTCCACTCTTCAATTTATACCACATCAAAATAGCAGTTTTGCCATCCTCGAGGGACTCAAATAGTGTTCCTTTTAAATTTCTTTGAGTTTTGGGAACAAAAGTCTAAAGGGGCAAGATCAGGGCTGTAGGGTGGATGGGATAAGATTTCCTAACAAAATTCTCATAGGACAGTCCTTACTACCCTCGAAGAATGAGCAGATACATTGTCGTGATAGAAAAAATTCCTTGGCACAACTTTTCTGGCATTTTTCTCACCAATGCTGTTTTCAGTTTCCTTAAAACTTCTTCGTAATAAGCCCCCGTGATCGTCCTGTGTCCTTCGAGAAAATCTATCAAGATTACGCCTTTGGAATCCCAGGAAACAGTCGCCATAACATTCTGAGCGATCTTCCCTCTTGTGACTCATGGTGAAGGTCTTCCTGACCTTCCTTAAAATGCTTGATCCATCTAAAAACTTTTCTGTGGGACAGCATTCCCATAAACTTGTCAGAAAGCTTCAATGATTTGGGAAGATGTCCACTTGAGTTTTGTTAAAAATTTGATATTAGCCCTGACCTCAAAATCATTTTTCTCCATGGCACAAAAAGTATCTTTTTTTTGAAGGCCCCCTAACAAGACTAAGACAAGTTTATTACTGAGAGAACTTGTATGCAGCCCTCCACTGATCGCAGAGACATGTTTAAACACATTTTACTTGGAATAAACCCACTCATGTATGAACTGGAATCCTAGTAGCAATACTTTTTGACTTACCCTCGTATATCACAAAGACTAAACCTTTCTAAATTCCTTTAAACAGTAATGTCGAGTAATAATTTAATAGATTGGTTTCTTTTTTTTCTTTTTTTTCTTTTTTTGTAGCTGCAATTGGAGCATTTCTAATCTACATTAGCTCAGATTATGTATTTGATGGAACAAATCCACCTTATAGAGAGGAAGACATACCAAATCCCCTAAATTTGTATGGCAAAACAAAATTAGAAGGTGAAAAGGCTGTCCTGGAGAATAATTTAGGTAAGCTACAATTTTTGTAGCCTCTGATAATTGTTGAGGCCTGCTTTTTGTTTAGGATGTATATTTTTTTAATTAAAAATTACTCAAACAATACAAATCATTGGAGAAAAATTAGAGAATGCAGCAAGAAAAAAGAAAAATAAGAATTTTAGAAATTCTAAAGAATAACTACTTTGAAACCTTTCAGACTTTCCAGTATCAAAGTATACATATACATCTTTATATATAGAAAACAAACCATTTAGTGCAAATTTTTGTAATCTGCTTTCGATAGGCCAATTTTATTTTCCTTAGCTTTAGGTATTATGTGTATTGTTGTTTTCCCTTTTTCCTGTGTGTGCATGTGTGTGTGTATATACACGTTGTTTGCCATTGAATTCTGACTCACAGAGGCCCTATATGACAGAGTAGAACTGCCCCATAGGGTTTCATATGGGAGCAGATCATCAGTTTCTTTTCTCTCTTGGAGCCACTGGTGGGTTTGAACTGCCGCCAACCTTTCGGTTAGCAGCTGAGCACTTAACCATTGTGCCACCAGGGCTCCTTGTGTGTATGTATACACGTATACATATATGTGCAGAGCCCTGGTGGTGCAGTGGCTAAGAGCTACAGCTGCTAACTAAAAGGTTGGCACTTTGAATTCACCAGCTGCTCCTTGGAAACCATAGAGGACAGTTCTACTCTGTCCTGTAGGGTTGCTATGGGTCGGAATTGACTCGAAGGCAATGAGTTTGGGTTGAACTTATATATGAAGAGTGAAAGTCCTCTTACAGTGCTACCTCAGGGAGATAAACACCAAATCTGCTTATCTATGGAAGCATTTTTTGTGTATTTTAAAAATTGTGTATGTGTTATTTTGTAGGAGTCCCTCTGCTATGCACAGTTAATCCATTTGGCTGCTGACAGAAAGGCTGGAGGTTCAGCTCTGCCCAGAGGTGCCTCTGAAAGAAAGCCTTGGCAGTCTGCTGCCAAAAAATCAGCCATTGAAAACCCTGTGGAGCGCAGTTCTACTCTGACGCACATGGGGTTGCCATGAGTTGAAATTGACTCAACAGCGACTGTTTTTTTACTTTTTCAAATTTATTTCATAGCCTATTTTTTTCCAAATTTTTGCATTTCAGTACATGTTGAGCCATCTCTGGGATATATGATTAATGGCTGCATAGTACTTGACTTAATAGATCCCCTGCACTAAAACTATTGCCTTAGACCATACTACATCCTTGAGAAACATCCCCTAATAGTAGGATGCCTTACTAATGGACGTTTAGTTTCTCAGTTTATTATCCTTCAGGAATTATCCTTGAATACATACCTATATACATTTGTCCAATAAGTTAATTTAATTTTTAAAGAAAATGTTGATTTTCATTTAGAGTCACTTCTTCAAAGACTATTTCCCTGGGTAGTGCAAATAGTTTGTACTCAACTACAAATAAAAGGTTGTCAGTTCGAACTTGCCCAGGGGTGCTACAGAAGAAAGTCCTGGTGATCTGCTTCCATAGGGATTATAGCCAAAAAAACGTCCTATGAAGTAGTTCGACTCTGTGATACATGGGGTCGACATGAGTTGGAAGTGACTTCATTGGCGGTAGAATCCAAAGACTGTTGAAACCAACCCCTCTCAATAGACTTATATAAAATTGAAATACCTCAGGATTCCTTAATCAGTAGTTGTGAGAATAATAGGGTCAACACCCACATACCCTTCACATAGATTCACCAGCTGTTAATGTTTTACCACATTTTATTATATAATTTTTGACTAAACCCAGTGAGAATTAGTTGAATTTCACCCCAAAACACTTAACCCCGTATTTTCTAAGAACGAAGACATTCTTCTACATACAGGCAGCCCTCGGGTTACCAATGAGTTCCATTCCTAAGACTGTCTTTAAGTCAAATTTGTACATAAGTTGGAACAGTTAGGTACAGTTCAGTTTGTATCTAATGTCAATCAGATGTTTGTCTTAGTATGTAGTGTACCTTTTATGCATCAAAAACATTAAAAAAAAAACACTTCCAGATACACTGAAACATCTTTAACATAGTAATACAGTAATTATGTTTTGATGCATGCCACAAAGTAGCTCTCATTTGTTAGTTACTATGAACTATTGTATGCACCTCGAATTTTTAATATAATAGGCTTTACCGGAGTTGCTTTATAACTATAAGTAGTGCGTAAGTCAGACATTTGTAACCCAGGGACTGCCTGTAATTATAGTTCAGTTATCACACTCAGGAAATTTAACATTAATACAGTACTGTAATGAAATATATAGTCTATATAGAAATTTTCATAATTGTCACAATAATATTCTTTATCGCTTTTTTTAAATCTGCGGTCCAGTTAAGGATCACAGAGTTGTGGTGTTGTTATGATTAGCTTTACTTTTAATGACCATAATATTGTACAATTTATATATATGACTGTATAAGAATACCCCCAAATGACAGAAAACATTTAAAAATATTCAGGATCACATTTGTTAAATTGCATTATTATAGGTGAGCTATGTCATTTTGGTATATTTTTATTACAGGCAGATTTTCTACTTTGATGTTGTTTAAATTCATATGCTTTTCATCTTACATCAAAACTTAAGAACCAGTCAGCTTTAAGGTAGTATCTGCTTTTATTCATCTCCAGGAGCTGCTGTTTTGAGAATTCCTGTTCTGTATGGAGAAGTCGAGAGGCTTGAAGAAAGTGCCGTGACTATTATGTTTGATAAAGTGCAGTTCAGCAACAAATCAGCAAACATGGACCACTGGCAGCAGAGGTTTCCCACTCATGTCAAGGACGTAGCCACTGTGTGTCGTCAGTTGTCAGAGAAGAGAATGCTGGTGAGAATCTTTGAAAGCAAGAGTTCCCTAATTTCATCTTTGTAAAAATTCTGTTTGTCTTTTCCATGCTTGAACTTTTACAACTATACTTGGAGTGTTAATGAATGGAAGTTAAGGTGCTTTTTTAAAACTAGAAGGAGACTAAACAAAAGTAGTTAACAGATAGTAGTCTGTATTAGTATTAAAAATATTATGCTTTTGTGTTTGAATTTATTTCTCAAGTTCTGTAGACCCCACCTATTGTTTCTTGGAAGATGACTGAAAACTTCTATTTTTTCTTTGGATTACAAGATAATCACCTATTGTCTTTTAAGAAGTTTACTCTGATTAAGATATATGTAGCACCAAAGAAGAATTTAAATTTTTAGTCATTTAAAAAATAATTTTTCTTTTAGATATTTGACTAGGAGTTAATTTTAAACATTTGAAAATGTTGGAGCTAAATGGAATATCCATAGAAAGAAAGTTTAGAGCCTGATTTCATTCAGAATATTAAAAATAGAGTGACCACAGTTTTTTAATATATAAAAATTTGTATTTATTTTAAATATATACCATTACAGCATTTAAGAATGTTACGACTAACTCTTAAAAAATGGTTCTATTAAGGTTTGGTTTTTGCTTCTAAGAATAATTAGAAATACTTATTAAATTGGACTCTTTCCATAAAAATCTCTAAATAGGATTCCTACTAATTAAATGAAATTAGAGCTATTTTTATTTTTATCTTAAAAAAAAATTCTTAAAACTCGTTCTAGATTTTGGTTTTGGTGTTTTAGCTGAGAATATTTATAGGAATTTGATTGTAGATATCTTGGTGAGAGCTTTCCAGAAAAGGAGGGGTGAATTTTAGTTCCTCGACTTTATAATTAGTTTTCTTTGTCAAACCTACCATTCCACTCAATTCAAAAAGTTGAAACTAATTTGAATTTTTTTATGTCCTTGTTCTTAGGATCCATCAATTAAGGGAACCTTTCACTGGTCGGGCAGTGAACAGATGACTAAGTATGAAATGGCATGTGCAATTGCAGATGCTTTCAACCTCCCCAGCAGCCACTTGAGACCTGTAAGTACATGGCATTCGAAACCACCTTGAAAGTTCAGATCCATCACCACAGTGTGTATTATTGATAACATTTTTCCTGTTGCTTTGGACATGTTAGATAATTTCATTTCCAGTACTAATCACAATGAACTTCGCTTGTATGTTGGCAGTTTATATTGTTACTTTTGTCAATTATTATCTATAAAGAGATCTGTGAGTATTGAAGGTAATAGAAAAACTATTGTCGTGCTTTTGGCAGATCTTTTGTTTATTTTTCTAGATATGGTCAAATTAGATTCCTTGTGCCAAGGACAAAGTATAAAATATAAAACCTTCAGATGTGGCCCACTGTTTACTTTTGATTTTCATTTTTCCTTAAAGATTACCGACAGTCCAGTGTTAGGAGCCCAGCGTCCAAGAAACGCTCAGCTCGACTGCTCCAGATTAGAGACCCTGGGCATTGGTCAGCGAACATCATTTCGAATTGGAATCAAAGAATCACTCTGGCCTTTCCTCATTGACAAGAGATGGAGACAAACAGTTTTTCATTAGTTTGTGTGTGTGTGTGTGTGTGTGTGTGTGTTTTTTTTTTTTTTTTTTTAATGAAAAGTATGTGGCACTTTTTAACAAAAAAAGGAAATAGTTTTGTATGAGTGCTCTTTAATTGTGACATTTATGATCTTTCAGGTAAATGATGCTCTTGCACTAGTGGAACTGTCTAAAGAAACTAAGGGGCACTGATGCCTTGTTTGAAGTAATGATCTTTCTGTTTATCTTTTTGTTTGTTCTGGCTTAACTTGCTGTTTGAGTGTAATTATGATTCTTAAATACTTGAGAGCCAAGATGAAACAGATCTGCTGTAGACTTTTTGGGGAGGGGGTTGAGGTGGGGTAGATAAAATGCATTGTTTATGCCTATAACCTACATTTTCAGGATTTTTGCAACAGTTGACCCTTTCATGTTGATTGTTTTAAAGTGTGTTGAGTATGAAAATCATTGGTGTTCATTATTGCTTTGCTTGAGCTCAGATCAAAACGTTCAAAGAAAGAAACTTTATTTTTGCAACTTAAGTACCGTTTTTATGCCTGAGATGTTTCAAGATGTTATGTATAATGGAATTTTTGCAGCCTGATGCCTCCTGCTTTGGTAGTGTATGGTGAGCCCTTGAGAGAGAATGTGTGTGAGTGTGTATATGTGTTGTATGTATTTTTTAAATATATATATATATATATAACTCCTTGCCACTCCATGTTGCTAAGTGACATTTCATATGTGTGGTTGTGCTAATAACAGGCCTTGTAAGTCTTTTGACCATTCATGAATAATAATAAAAATGTACTGCTGGCATGGGAATACTTAGTTTTCTTGTTTTTTTTTTTTTTATTGTCTAAATACAAATTTTTTTTTTTTTTTTTTTTTATTCAGGTGAAGGCTTACAGAACAAATAGTTTCTCATTGAACAGTAGTACACATATTGTTTTATGATGTTGGTTAACCACCCCACAACATGTTAACCCTCTCCCTTCTCGACCTTTTTTTTTTGGTGAAAATATACATAGCCAAGGATACACCGTTTCAAAAATTTCTACATGCAGAGTTCAGTGACATCGACTATGCTTTTCCAATTGTGCTGCTATTCTTACTTTAGATGAAGGCTTACAGAACAAAATAGTTTCTCATTTAAAAGTTAGTACACATGTTGCCCGATGACAATGGTTAATCTCACAACACATCAACCCTATCCTTACTCAACCTTGGGAAAATAGTTTTCTTTTTTTTAACTCTTCTTTTTAAATGTAAAGACCAAATTTCTATAAACTTACTGTTCTTTTGCAGCTTTAATTTTTTAAAATAACATTCTTACGTAACGTCTGATACACACACAAGAGTATAGTTCATATATATTGAGATACAAAACAGTAATAAAATGAACACTGGTGAACCTACTGTTTGAGATCTAGAATGTTATAGATAATGTATCTACTTGTGCCAACTGATGTTTTTAAAAAATTTATTGTAAAAAATACATGTATATCGTAAAATTTTAACCATTTTTAAGTGTACAATTCAGCGGCATCAATTACATTCACAATGTTGTGCAACCACCACCATTTCCAAGATTTATTTTTAATCATCTCAAACAGAATATCCATTAAGCGATAACACCCCATTTCCCCCTTCATTCTACTTTCTGTGAATTTGCCTGTTCTAGAAATTTCATATTGGTGAAACCAACTGGTGGTTTTTTAACTAACTAAACATAAAGAACTATATAATTTTGTCATAATTATGCATTTACATAGAGTGGTCCTGAAGAATGCATAGTGTTTGTATTATCTATACTAAGTAATTTTCAAGTAACCTTAGCTTCATTCGGGTCGCTATGAGTTGGAATTGACTCTACGACAACAGATTTTTGTTTTTTTTTTTAGCCTCAATATTTTCAGTCCTTATTAAGGAAGCCAGAAAGGTAGAGTGAGTTGTATGACTTGGCTTCTACTCAGGGCAGTGCAAATCCTGGCTTTAGATTTTCCAGTTTCACTTTCGGGGTCCTCTTTCCCTAGATTATGACCTTATTCCCTTACTGAACAAAATGTGTTTCTAATTTCCTAATTTACTTAGAATTTTGGGTTAAGATAGGATCAGATCGGGGTGATTTGATTAAAGCAACAATTCCCAAACCAAATTATGTTTTAGAATAAACTGGGAAAATTTTACTGACACTTGAGCCTTACTCTAGGCCCACTGAAATAGAATTTCTGGAATTGTGGATTGCTAATCTGTTCTTAAGTGGTTCCCAGGTGATTCTAAGGTAATCACCCTGACACTTGCATTTGGCAATCACTGGATGCATAGTAGTTAAGAGCTCAACTGCTATCCAAAAGGTCAGCAGTTCAAATCCACCAGCTGCTCCTTGGAAACCCTATGGGGCAGTTCTACTCTGTCCTGTAGACTCACTATGAGTCAAAATCAACTCGATGGCAACGGGTTTTGGGTTTGTGGTTTTTAAATTACAGCATTCTGTGTGTGTGTGTTTAAATTACTATGTTTTACATAGTACAAAATTAAAAAGTTTCAACAGGACTTGGTGAGCCAACTGAGCACCCATAGGCCACTGGACCCTGGTCCTGATGCCCGTGACCATATGGGCCACTGCATCTGGTAAAGGACCACCAGCCCATGGGCCGCTGTGTCACCAACCGCACAGACCACCACGAGCCAGTGGAGCACGAAAGAAAAGGAGCTAGGTGTTCTATTGCGACCTTTATTCCGGTGTATGAATGAATCAACCACAGCTTAGTTTATCAGTCTCTTATTGATAGACTTTAGGTTATGTGCAATCTTTAGAGCATGCTTTTAATGAGCCCAATGTGTAAAACATTCAAGTGTGTGTAACTTATGCTGTTTCATATCTGTATCAGTATATGTTAACAGTCCCCAGTACATATCAATCTGCAGAATAAGATTGAATTCAGAAAAAATTCACCAAAATGAAAAAATAGCTTGAGATGTGTGCTTGACTGTGTGAGGAGTAGAGTACGTTCTAAATATTTCTCAGACTGATTATATTTTATGTTATATGATTAAAATGCTCTTCTACATTATTAAAGGTATTTGTTTATTTCACCTGGGTTTTGATACAGAATAATAATTTCAACCAATTTCTGAAAGAAGTAGGAAACAACTGTCCAGTGGCGAAACCTTTTTAGGAAATAACTACTGGAGTAAAAAGCCATATCTCTTTGAAAGCCAAATCATCTCAGCAGTAAATATGGCAGTAGGTTTTAATTCAAATGTATAGGCTAGTCAAGAGAGAAAATTTTCTGACTTGAACGTAGTATAATGCGTAGTGAAGTTAAATCAAATCTGGATTTGAATGTGATTCTACCACTTGCTACTAGCAAGTTACTTTACTGAGCTTCAGGTTATTCAAGGGTTAAGTGGAGGACCTACCACCTATTTCACAGATCTACTGTGGAAATAACAATGGGACAATATGTGAGGCACTGGGCCTGGAACAGGGTCACTGTTCGGTGTGAACGGTTAACACACTCAATGCTGACTGAAAGGTTGGTGGTTCAAGTCCACTCAGAGGCACCTCAGAAGAAAGTCCTGGTGATCTACTTCAGAAAAATCAGCCATTGAAAACCTTACGGGGCACAGTTCTGATCTGACACACATAAGGTTGCCATGAGTGGGAGTCAACAGCAGTTCGTGCCAGGAACATAGATGATTAGCATATGTCTCTGTGAACTTACCAAATGCCTAAGGGTGGAGGTTGTAGAAGGGGAGGCTGTGCTTGGCACTATTAGCATCTCAGATGTCGTTTTCTGACATAAGACATTAGTTATGAGTTTTCTCCTGTAAACAGGATCACCAGTGGTTTTTATTTTCCTTGTCATTTTTCATACTTCCTAAATTTTCTATGATGAACAGCTAATATTTTGGAAATAAATTTTAAAAGATTTCAAAGAAGATAAATTATTTTTGTAACCTGTACTGCCTAACAACTTCTGGAAGTTCTGTGCGTTGCCACACAAATGGCAAAATACTTGAGTTTGTATGCAAATAATTACATCTGGAAATTGGATACATTCAAATTCATGTATTTACTCACAAATGATTTATATCAAAAGAGGTGGCCATGCAGTTGCTCAGCTCGTACACACAATTGCCTTGCTTTCTCTATGATCCCCTTCTTGATTCTAAATTTTACATACGTATACATATTATTGAGCAATTCCAATTTTTCTCTAGTTATAGAACTCAAAAAATGTTGCCTTGAGATGTAAAGGTGATATAGAACTTTCAGAATGTTTTAATTTGAGAGGCTACAACTTTTCCAGGGTAAGTCAAACACTGGCATATTGGAGGTCTGGGAATGTTTTTTATTCTTATACAGTATCACTACCATGCTTTATGTGCTTAGTACATATTAGGTCCTTGGATAGTTGAAATATTGATGATGGTTCTGGTCTTCAGAAGTGTTCTTTCATAGACTTAGAATTTACCCTGACACTAGAGGACAAGGATGGATGATAGAAAAAAATATATGCTATGTGAGATGACACCATTATCCGTTTAGTTTGACAACATGTCTCTCAGCAGCATGAAGGATATTATCTTTCATAATGTCAACTCCAAAACATTCCTAATTTCTCTTAATGACCCATTACATATCCATCATCCATGATCCACTTAAGTCTGCCAAACCAAGTTAACACCATCTCCAACTACAGACAGTTTTACTAGGCCAACTAATGCAGATTATTTAAGTAAATAAAATACTGTTTATTGTAATAAGCTTATTAAAATAAATAGGCTTATTTAAAATTTTGAAGGATTGCTAAGAATTCTAGAGATGGACTTTGGTGAGTACATTGTTTCATCTCAACCTTACATTAAAAAAAAGTGAAAATGCATAAAATGTATGTACAGTTTAATAATTAAAAAAAATACCCATGCACCTACCACTCCGATTAAGAAATAGAATTTTATGGATACCTTAAGCACTTGGCTACAAAAGGTTGGAGGTTTGTATCCACTCAGAGGCGCCTGGGAAAAAAAGAACTGGCGATTTACTTCTGACAAGTCACAGCCATTGAAAACCCTGTGGAGCACAGTTCTACTCTAACACGCATGGGGTCACCATGAATCAGAATCGACTCGATAGCAACTGGCTTTGTTTTTTTGGTTTTGGAAGATTTCTAAATTCCTTTCCCCTATTGCACCCTTTCCTCTCTCCAGAGGTACCCGTTATCCTGACTGTTAGTTACTTCCTTCTCTTTATAGTTTTACTATCTGGGTATGCGTATTTGTCTTAGGCTGGGTTCTTTAGAGTAGCAAAACCAGTAAAGCGTATATAAACATATATAGAGAGAGATTTATATCAAGGAAATTGCTGATGCAGTTGTAGAGGCTCGGTCAGGTTAGAGGCTTCATGTAATTCATGTAACCGCAGGGGCTGGTGAACCCAAGATTGGCAGGTCAAAGAGCAGGGCTCTTGCTCACAGGTTGTGAAGATTGATGAATCCCTAGATCGGCAGGCAAGACTGCAGGTAAGCTGCTAGTTCAAGTCCCAAGAACTGGAGGTCAGATGAACAGGAGCCAGCTGCAGGATCCATAGTGAGCAAAAAGCCCCTGAGCCTTGCCAGAATGTCTGGTTATATTTCATGCAGGCCGCACGCCCAAGGAAACTCCCTTTCAACTGACTGGCTACTCAACAGCAGAGCTCATCATGAGGGTGATCACATTATATCAAATCTCATCATGGAAGTGATCACAACATCATACAACTCACAAAACACAGAATCATGGCCCAGCCAAGTTGAGATACAATCTTAACCATCACAATGTTTAACTATATATTATTTAA